AGCCAATCCAAGGATGTTATGAACGCATTCACCACAAAGCTTCGTTGGGCGTTCAGCACATGAATCGACACCGGTGGTCGGTTACAATAGGAACTAGAATCTCACTAGAAATCGTTTCTCCGACACCTGAGCTCGAGTAAGCAGACACCCAAGGGAGCTATCCACCTCAGGCACTAACCTTGGCACTTCAAGGGAGCTATCCACCTGCATTGGCGGAGTGGGCGATGCTCTTGTTGCGCTTCCAAAGTCTCAAGGCCGGTGCCGATTCGCTTTCATCCACGAGGAGCGCGACGCGCGAGTGCGAGCGTGGTTGGACGTGGAAGGATGCGTTTGGGGGATTCATTTGGCGTGAAAATGGTGGATGTTTGAGTTGAAAAGTCCGAGGGACTTGGAAACTGCAGAGAACTGCATCTTGTTTTGTTGTTTTTTCACCTGCGTTGCACTATTACACTGCCCAGATATATTATGGAATCATGGGTTTCACAAGAATAACCCCTTTAATTTGGCCAAATAGGGTAGAACAAGCAAGTTTGGGTTGTGGGGTACCCCTAGGATTACAAGTTGCCAACGGCCAACTACTATTCTGGAGAAAACACCTTTGCAAGAGAATTTGAAATGATAATAATATTCTTAAGATATTCATACATTTTTCATACATTTTATACGGACCACTGCAAGAACAAGATGCCTAATTACGTCATTCCACATCCTTGCTCACTGTCCGACGCTTTTGTCATCATGTGTTCAACCAATTTTTCCAGAGACTTGCGAATTTCATCCGCAAAAGAAGGCAGGTTTCGGTCTTCTGCAACATCAGGGATGAAAGAGCCAAATGGCGAATGATTGGCACAGATCCTTTCTGACAGGTAGTCCACCTCCAGCTTGGGTAGGCTGTCTTCGAACTTTTGGCATCAACGCCAGTGGACGGAACGAAGCTATATCTCCGTTTGTCATCACCAGATCCGTCCAGATCCTTCCCAGAGTACCACCACAACACGACCATACTTTCTCTTTGTTGGAAGGTGGGTTTCCTCTAGCGAGAGAAGAGACCTGTCGTGCTCTTGGAGTTTTTCTCTATCGCATCAATAAGACAAATGGATCATCTGCTATATGGGAAATCTTGGAACCTTTGAGCAACCAAAAACCAACAGTTTGATGCCATAACTTTGATCGCCCCCCAAAAGTACAACTATATAAATAGGAATATAAACACACTAACAAATACACAACTAAAAAATTCAAAAACCATGGTCTCCTTCCCTTCCGCACCCCGTGCGCCTTCTCCCGACCCACGCACCCACCCGCCTTCCGGACTCGCCTGCTCGAGGCCTCGCCCCACAGCGAGTCGGAGCTCAGGGCCTTGGCACGACGGGCGGCGGAGCTCGGTGAGGCGCCCCTCATTGCCGGGGCACACACAAAAACCATTCGGGGACGATGGAGGCCACATCAAGTTGTTCCTTGTCTATTTTTATCTGGATGATTGTGGGTTTGAGCTATGTGGAGTGATGAGCTGATTTTGTTGGTGATTTGGTGTAATAATGAGTTCATCATTGTTGTAGACTTTCAGCGCTTATACAAATGCGTTACAGTAAAGGATTTAAAGTCTTTAGTTTTCGAGGAAACACGAAAGGCTCACAGAGTCGTGTTTCTCTGGGCATCCTGTGCTTTGTCCGGTGTCCGGCCAGGCTTTGCCAGAACCCGTCCCGTCTTGGAACCCATCCAAGATCTTGGAAACCTGGCGCAAGTTCGGTGGTCTGAGTGGCAGAGTGATGACCTTACCTCCAGGAAAATGAACATGCGGACCCACACTAGAGCAGCGAATGCACTGCCGCTACTGGACACCCTACAAAAGTGAGCGCTTTCGGAGCAACCTTGCAAATAGTATAATTAGTCTCGACATCTATGGACAGAGGTCTCACGTGCTGATTGTGTTTCAAAGCAGGGTCCCATGGACTAGTGGTTCAGCCGCCGATTTGGGAACCATCATCATGACAAGACCAGCATCATGACTCATGACAAGACCGTCAATCTCCACCCATTGAGGCGGCGCCAAGGGGTAGCTGGAAACACCAAACGCCCTGACCCTCATGGCCGGCGAATCTCAGGATCAGCTGGAGTCATGGCTGTCCGAGAAGTTGGAAGTCAAGGACCAAGGCAGGATGCATGCTGATGCGGATCCAATGGGCTCCGTCTTGATATGTTGTGGTCTGACTACACGAGTCAGATGATATGCTTTCTATTGATTTCTGGACCACAAACTATCCAGGAAGTATCACATTCAAAGAAGTCTACTTTGTTTCTGGACACGTTTGTGTCACTGTGTGTATGTGCGTTGTGGGTTCTTCGTTTTTGACACCCCGAATCTGCTAAAGAAGCGGCCACAAGAACTTTGTCTCCGAGTCGTGCTGAGTTGTTTCCACTGTGGAATCCAATAAGCATAGCATCGATCGAACTGTTTGCCTTGATACTCGGAGTGAAAGGATGCAAAAGAGCTGTTTCAGCCCATTTGGTCATGCCTTTTATGCCTTTTTGCAGTTCCTGTAGTGCCTGTTGGAAGACGTGTATCGTGGCCTGCCAGACATGAAGACGGAGAACTACTTGCAATGCAAGTTATTGCCTGGTGCAAGTACGTCGCGAATATGCCGCCCCTCGTGCAGCTAGTGAAAACAATTTGGATCCTTGTGGAGATGATGAATATGGCCACAACCATTGGCCGCCAGTGGAGTGGGATTCTGATTCCATTCGAGGGATTCTGGACGCAAAGACAATGCAGCCAGCAGTTGCATGCTGAGACCACAATTCTCTTCGCTTGTCCGGGCAATGTTCTGAGGCTGCAAATGCAGCAGAACCTTTAAGCATCCAATGAAATGCCTTCCCGTCCCGTGACCCTGCGGTGCTCACATAAGCCTGTTCATTCCCCAAGCAAGAACAAGGTTTGTGTGCGCTCTTGACGTGGTGCTTCATGTTTCTGACAGCGATTTCGATTGCAAAACACTTGAGAACATCGTCAGCAAGAAGAGTTTAGGAAATCAAGCAAAGCGAGACCCTGCAGCACTATGCAGGACTGCATTGAAACAATATATAAACAAACAGTTATTCATTGGATTTGTATAATTGAAGATAATGTAATGCTAATGATGCCTATGCTTCATAGTAGCAATGCCAGCATTTATTGTCATCAAATACAATTCACATTGGAGTTTGGTCACTCTTGGAAGGTCGAAGTTTGCCAAAGTGCACGTGGAGCTTGGAGCCTGGGTGCTTGACACTCTCAGGCCGGTGAGGGTGATTGAGAGAGCCTGCTTGGGTGGTTGAATTGGGAGGTGGACGTCAAACAGGAGATGGTTGATGGTTCTAGGAGAGGTTTGATCCACGAAGTATGAATTGTTCTTGATCAAAACCTTCCAAGATTTGGTGGTGTTTGGACCCGACCATGGGTGCAACACCGAAGCCTTCACCACGACAAGCCTCAAAAAACGGGCGGGTGGTGTGGATCGATGGCTGTGCTTGTCATGGCTTGTCAGATCTCGAGTCCTGTCCACAGGAAAAAATGGGGTGCAGATTCGTCCAAGTGATGATTCCAAGTGATTGCTTGCGATTCATTTGAGACTGCGGATTCATTTGAGTCCTGTCCTGTGATCATTGGAACAGCAGATTCATCCAATGTGGCTCAGCCGTTTTTCGATGCGTGGAGCACCGGGCATGTCCAGGGGCAGTGGGGTGTCAGGCTGTGGTGCCTCACATGCCTGTAAAAGTCTTTGCATGCTCCTAGCTACAACATGTTCTGGTCAACATTGAGTCACATTGAGTCGACATGTATTCCATTTCAATTCCTTTCCCACCTGCTACAAAGGTCCTGGTGGACATTGAGTCGACATCTATTTGTCCAAAATGTCCTTTTAAGAAAAAACGCCAGGAACCACCCGACCAAACCCACCTGACAAACCACCATCAACCATCGAAACCATCGGCACATCGCACAGATCTAGCGGAGCCAGGCTTTCAGCGGATCTGCGGACCTTCGCAGGCGGAGCCGGAGGCTCCAGCCGCTGGGGGGCCCAGTGTTGGAGTGGATGCCAAGTGATTTGTGAAAAAGAATGAGCTGGTGGAGAAGTGGATGGATGGAACACTAAGTGATGGATCGATGATGGATGAAGTGGAGAAAAGTGATGGCGGATATATTATTGGAGAGCTGAAGGGAGGGATGGATTGCAGGTGATTTGGAGGAACATAAGAATTGAGTCATGAGATGTCATGAGTCAAGGTCAAAACGATCCACAAGTGTTGTATTTGCATCAGGAGCATTCACCAAGCCCTGCTGATTGGAGTGAAGGCAGCAAGTTTATCACCCCCGACCGGCCCCGACCACTATTGAAAATTGTTTCTCGTTTCGCTGCCAGGGAGCATTTGCTGTCAGAGTCATGTTTAATCAAATAATAGGCACTTGTGGATTCTTGTGGACTTGTGGGCATGTTGTACTTAGATCAAGTCTGCTGGGATTTGGGAAACTAAACTTTTCACATTCACTTGTAACACTAAAAACCTACCAGAGGTTTGCGCGACATGTCGCTAAGGCAAGCTTGCAAAACTTCACCTCAAGGATTTTGAAATTGCTTTGTTAAGCAGGCCATTGTGGTCCTCTTGGGTAGATCATCACCTGCACAGACACATACGATCGGCCGGACGCTCCCCAAAGTCCAGACGCGTCAGTCCTCCCCAAGTATGGGCGAGTCACATGCCCTGTGCCTAGTGCTTAAAGTTTGGCTTAAGTTTGGCCAACCTTGGGTTTCAGGCTCACTATCACTGGATTCCAGTGGAGTACACCTTGAAGAATTATGAGTATGCTTCCAGGTCTTTTCTATGTGATATGCAGTAGATGCAAGGCGATTCAGAAACGCCACCGCCTTCAGGAACGGCCGCCTTTGGTCCTACCAGTGCCCTTGGTGCAGGTGTCCTGTGATACTGTGCAGGACATGTGATTCGCGCGGTTCACGTTTGCGGGCAGCATCACTCCAGTGAAGACTAAGTAAGTAAAGTGAAGGAAACCTTCAGGAACGATAAGGTTCACAGAAAAAGCGATAACGTTGGGAAGAGTGCGCACTACAACACATAAGAGGTTTTGCACGTCGCTCATATGTTTCACGAAACAAATTGTTTCCCGATCCTGTAGGACATGTCTTTCTTCAGAAGGGCCGCTGGCTAAAATGCCGACACCGGAGAATTCATTCCCCCGTTACCAGGGTCACCCGGTAAGCTTTGTTTTTTTGACAGAGGGTTTGATGTCAGATGCTCTTTAGATACAGCCAACTCGTTGCAAGTGTTTTCCCATGCTATTCAGACCATGGACACATTGTTGGTGATGAAATCAAACGAGTTCAGCAGTTGATGGGAGCGAAGGTGCCATTCAATTGATTGGAGACTAAGATGTCCATCACTATCACCAGGGTATCAAATTTCCGGGGCCTGGGATGATGAAACTGAGAACTAGTTGATAGTTTCGGGTGCCTGAGAGAAGCAACCTCCCAGTTGAATTGACAAGAGCTCATTAGCAGGGTGCAGCCCCCCATGATGGAAGTCGCAACCCAGCGACGACAGAATGGCAACCAAAAGTGCTTTTCTACTGCCCATTCACACTCGTTGTTTTGAGACCTCCCTATATTATTGTAGAGAACACATGTGAAGACGAAACCCCGCGCGCAGCGTCACTTCACCGCAGCCATCTCCAATTTTGAGTCCCCAAGCCCCACCTCTTCACCGCAGCGTCGCTCCGTAGACCGGATCTCGTTTCGGGTCTCGACCGGGCCATGAAGCTGGAGAACGCGGTGATCGCCGTGACGGGCGGCGCCAGCGGCCTGGGCGCCGCAGCGGCGGAGCTGTGCCGCGCGAAGGGCGCCAAGGTGGCGGTGTTGGACATGAACAAGGCGCGAAAGCCATTGGCCCCGTTGGGGCCGTTGGTGTTGTTGTTTTGTTTTGTTTTGCTGGGGGAAGGATTTTGCGAGGTAGATAATGTCAGTTGAGAACCTTAAAAGGTTGGGGGTTCTGTGCTTTTTCGTGGTTGTAGTGCTCAGTTCAACCCGGTTTGTTCGAGCTCTTTTTGGGTCAGGAGAAGGGCGAGGCCTTTGCGCAAAGCCTGGGCGACAACGTTATCTTCCTAGAGACCTGGACGATGACGAAGGGATACGAAGGATTAAGTGTTTCTGAGGTTGCAAGGACGTGGAGGGTCGAGTGCTATGCTTCTGGGAAAGACGTTCTGATAATTTGTTTGCAGATGATTGGGGATAGACATGTGGGTGCTATTGACGAGACAAAGAATGCTTATGGTGACTGCTGTCCTTGATGGTTTTGGGCTGACATATATACCAATGCAATTGGATTTGGCCAGTTATGATCCTTTTTGTTGCAGTGGATGAACACGGATGGTGGTGAGGAATGCAATATTTTGGATGAGAAGTCCGTGGCAGACTGCATGGCCGCCATCAAGGAGCTTGGGCATAGCAACTTCTAAATATATATACTATGACTGTATGATGCCAATATATTCTAGATATGCTTGGTATCTGCACATGGCTATGCCACGCTTGGTGCCACCAACTCTCTTAGCCTAAGTTAGAAGAGGGGGTAAGACATTTGGAAGGTTTCCCGGATGTTGGAGCCCACCCGGCGCACCCGTCAGCCATGGCAGGAGAAGTTCGGCAAGCTTAGCGGTGTGGTGAGCTGCGCTGGAGGGCAGACCATGGGCACTGGCCTCACGGTGGACAAGAAAGGCCACTTGACTCACTTCATGCGCTTGAAGAAAGGTCTAATGCGCTTCAATAAGCTTCACTACATTCTTAGAACCAGCCGATGCGGTGATGTGTGCCGATGCCTGGTTTTTTGGATGGTGTGGTTTCACCTACTCAACTGGTCAGTCCGGATTCACCGCTTACCGGACAGGTCAGATGTTCTGCTCAGCAGGAGGTCTTGTGATGTTTGTGACGTGCACAGATCACAAATCAACCAAGGAGTAGCACCTGACAATTGGTCAACTTTTTACAAGCAGAAGGTTCAATTCCAGGATGCTCAAAGACACTGATCGATCCGGGATCAGAGTATGTCACATCATCATGTCGATCAGAATGTTTCCAAGGAGAAACGACCCCTCAACGCTGTCGAACAGTTGTTGCGCCTTTCGGGGACCCATATTCTTGCATTTGATACATATTGATGCTCTCTAAATCCAGAGTCTTAAGGCCCTTTTGGGCATCACTCGCCATTTACGCCATTTCCCCTGTGTACCTTTGGCTTTTTTGAAGACGGAACGTGGCTTTGGCCAACGTGGCCGAGGAAATCCTCATCCGTTGGCGCCCTTCCGGACTGCGGGGGGGAAACATGAGTGGATCAGGAAAGGACTTCTGGGTTTCAACAGTTTCAACACTGGCGAAACAAATCATCGTGAAGATCCCTGGCTCCCTGACATACAGTAATTCTCACAACAAACTTGTAAGATGGTCCCTCATAGCACCCTCTTAAAAAGCGGGAACAATGGGCATCGACTTGGAGGGTTCCACCTCCATGGACTTTGGGGGGCAAGAAGGTCACCAAGTGCAGGAAAACCGTGGAACTCAACATCATCGGCACCTTTCTCGTCGCCTCCCAAAGTGCCTCGGTGTCTTTTCGCAACGCCGTTTGGAGTGGAGATATTCCAACAAAATGTCAGTTGCCGTCGTAGGGGTTCAGTGGGATTTCTGATTGGGAGAGAGCTGTAGGCTGTAGGATAATTGTTGAAACTCAAGCACCAAGCACAGTGGAACATTTTTGTAGGTCAAGGTCAAGGATAATGAGGAAAGTATGATTCCATCTAGGTTGTCGGGTGCCAATTTCCGAGGGCTTCTTCGGCAACATGCAGATCATTTGCAGATCATTCCACTCATGTTCCAGTGCCAAAAACGCCTGGGGATATCGGGATATCAGATGTGCTTCTACAGGTTTTGATAAAGTTCTGAGTTGTGAAAAAACGCTGCCGGGTAGGAAACGCGCTCTTTCGAAAACGCTCGAAAACGCACTGAAAACGAAAGTACTGAAAACGCAGGTCAACATCAAGAAAAAACGCGCTGTTGCTGGAGGGGGCTTTGGCAATACCAATAGACCAAAATGCTTTTATCGGATTTGGATAAATGCAATTTGGGTGGTCTATGGACCATGTTCAAACATTCTATGGAACATGTCCAAACATTTGGGGAGTCTATGGACCGTGGTCAAAAGAGACTCAAAAGTGAGAGATCCTGGCTACATCCAGGTCGTCCACATCATTGCTTTCCTCTTGAGCCCTCGATCCCGCGTCTTGATGAAGAAGCATGCCAAGAGAGAGCCAAAGCGCAAGGATGGGCTTCCTACTGCGAACTACAATGTGCTGTGGTCTACTCACAGGCCAGAGATGCGGCCATTTCTTCGGGCACACTTTGCAGACAATCCCGTTGGGTTCACTGGTGCATGGGCTGAGTGGCAACAATATGAAGCTGGAAGCGGACGCTTTGCAGGTCTTTCTTTTGAGATGTCGGAGGATTCGACGCTGGCCTCCTGGTGGCGTGACCAGACGCCCTCCGCTTGGTTGAAGCATGTCATGGCCTTTCGCTTGTTGCTTTTTGCGGCATTCAGAAAAAGCAATTCCGCATCGATTTGCTT